TTAGCTAGCTAGCCAGTAGCCACCGTAAGGCTGACAGGTTGTATTTCCACACCTCTGGTCTACTCACCGGGTGATGAACGACACATTTGAAACGGTTTGAAGCAGTGAATGAACATAAATGAACAAATACTACAGGCCAAAACAAGCTAATGTTCAAATTGCTTGAAAAAGTCCCTTTATTATTTTTGACGATAGTAAAAATCGCCTGCAGCGCTCAATGAGTTGCTAACAAAATAACGTTACTTCCTTACTGAATAAAAGTACATACTGTGTATCAAGCAAGGAACTTTCCGGGTGAGGACTTTCTTATAGCATTCCTGTTGGTAATAAGTCAGAGTTTTTATTCAGACTTTTAATTTATTCTGAGTGAACCTGAATTGAAAACATGAATAAACATACCAGTGCAATTTAGCATAAGCAATATTAAAAATGTGTACAGCGGTAGGCTACTTTGCGCAATATAAAAATACATATACAATGATATGATAATATTGTACTGGTCATATAGAAAGCTCAATATTGTACTAATGATTTGTAGAATCCTCTCTCAGTCCTATCAGGTGAAGTGGCCAAACTGGCCAAGAGGAATATGACTGCTGTACAGCTGTGCTAGCAATGATCCTTCACTCCAGTATCTCTCCTCCTCAGAACTCTGTAATGATGCCAGTATATCCTCCATTTCCTCCTTCCAAAGCACATCCATCCTTGGGTTCATTTCCATGAACCGTTGGGCTGTTAACCGCACACTGCCCAAGCCTATCCCAACCACAGGGACCACTGGTATACTTGCAACCATCATGGCTACCATCAGAGGACACACAGGCCCTCTCTGTTCCAACACACGCTTGTCATTGGTGGGGGTCTGTGGTACCTTTATCGGTGGTGGCGAGAATGGAGCCCCCTGATACTGCATGGTATGGTAGCGATCTCCATGGGACAGGGATAATTGTAGAAGTTGCCATACTGTTGCGCAGTATGAGAGGATGGTGTATAGCCAGTAAAGCTAGGACTGTGCTGTTTCCAGGGGGCAGAGCCTTGTTTTGGGCTCTGGTAGTACATGTCCATAGCATGTCCATAGCCTGCAGGTGGGGATGATGGGTTGGAGATGGAGTGGTCCAGTATTGAGAAGGCTGATAGTGGGAAAAGGCAGGCACCTGGCTAGGGAGGTTCTGGTTCTTGGGATGGAGAGGGTATCCATAGGTCAGGGGAGTGGGTGATAGAGAAGGAAAGGCTTCCTCTGCATTGAGTGGTTGTGGTTGTGGTCCTCTGTAGCTCAGCTGGTAGAGCACGGCGCTTGTAACGCCAAGGTAGTGGGTTCGATCCCCGGGACCACCCATACACAACAAAATGTATGCACGCATGACTGTAAGTCGCTTTGGATAAAAGCGTCTGCTAAATGGCATATTATTATTATTATTATTACAAGAGAGAGCTAAGGTCAAACCATTGTATTAGACCAAGTTGTTTTTCACCCAAAACTTAGACATATAGGCTACTATTAATCACCTGAAGATAACACTGGGACAATTTTAGAATGCCTGCACAATTTACAAAGGAATTTACCATTTGAGTTCTCCCTTGTCATATAGAGGGACATTCTTTTTTTATCACTGGATTTGCAGCAAAATTATGTGAGAAAATAGATTAGTGGTACAACCCTCCAATGAGCAGCAATCCCGGAAATATAATTGTCTACTTCACAAATACTATTGGTCAAGACACTTCAAAGGATACTGCATTCTCTCTCCACGGAAACCACATTCTTACCATGGTTACAAGATACCACTATGTCTTCATCATGTATGTCTTCATGTATGCAGTCTCTTGCATGGAAATGTGATGAGCAATATTATACGAAATAACAAGATCATCAAACAAAATATCATTTTATTATTTGATTTATTTTCTAATCTTACTTCATTGTTTTCTTTTACCTTTTTACAATGACTTGAAATTATAATTCCCCAATAACAATAAGGATTACATCTTTCAGGGGATCTTCAAAGAAAAAAATATAGAGCAGTAAACAATCATGTTATCATAATTTATACAATATCCTTCAGAATAAGAATAAACTTCAGTTGTACAATTCTTGTTTCTACAATGTTTTCTTTTTTCCTTCCCATTCGTTTAAATGGCAAGCCATGCACTACTCCAGTAGTGATGTTTGTGCCTTGAGCAAAACTTTCTTTGGACATTGGAAGCTAGTGTGAGAGCAAAAGTTCACATAACAATTTATATACACATTTAAGTTTTTATAATTATAATTTAACAAAACTGACAGCCACATACGGTCAGTGCTTTCCAAGGGCTCGTCATCAGGTTAGTAAGAGGGACAATTATGAGAGAGGGGCACAGTGTTAAGACTTGCAGGCCAGTTTTTCAGGGCAGAGTTGGACTCAGCAATGATAATGAATTACTTTTCTGATGATAATGTTTTCAAATTTCTGCGAAGAAGAGGGTGTTAAAATGGTCAGAGAAGTAAAAATTCGTTCTTTGGTCAGTTTGAAAACGCTGTGGTTAAAAAGAAATTGGAACTTGTTTAAAGTGCATTAGAGAATCCCATTGAATCAAGTTTAACCCCGCAAAAGGGAATGTCTGGACAGGACTCTGGTCTTAGTCTAATCAGTCAGCTAGCAATCATGCTACTGTAAGTCTCACAACTAGCTGTTTGAACTACAGTAGACAGTCTGAAATAAACTAATAAACAAGGAATAAACAGAAAATAGGTTAATACTGCTGCTGTATCCAGGTAAGATAGAGTAAGATACGTGGGAAGATATGTCTTAGGGTTTCCTCTTAGTAATGCACCACTGGCTGCTGGGTACTGTAGTAGTAAATGATTGGCTGAAGCCTCGTGAGCCTCATATCTGCTGGGGAAAGCCACCTATTACACTCAAAGGCAGAATGACTTGAACCAATCTGACAGTTCAGCCCTTTGTGGGCTGGCTTTCTGAGGCCTCACTACCTGTCCCCAGTCATCAGGCGCAGTGCAACTCCACTGACCTCCATTTGATATGGATGGGTGAACCTAATGATCGGTTTTAAAGATTCAGAAAGTGATATACAATAGCGATCAGTAGTTCTGTGCAGTGCCTGTTCTGAGCAGCTGGGGCGATAACAGAGTTGGCATCCGTCACTGACGTTAACTACAATGACAATGCCCTTTAAGAGGCCACTGTCTGCAACCTCAGCATTACAGTGGATCACACTTCAGTTGGGCTGAAGTGGAATGACCTCACCATAAACAGACATTTTGAATTGGTCAGACGTGACTGTGTTGCCAATTCAATGGGTGCTCAATGCAGCACTTTGAAATGTACCGTGTGCTACCTTGAGTACAAGACATCCATTTCAATCAAAAAGAATCATAAATATTTTTCTAAATTCAACAATTTCCCCTCGAGTAGCATTCAACCATTAAATCCATTGAATGCCAGTTTCCCTTGTGAATCCATAAATTCCAAAACTATTTACAAACTTTTCCCTCGAAAACAACTGGTATTAGAGAGAAACAACAAAGGAGAGACTGTGAAGTGATGTGAAATGTAGAATAAATATCTGTATGTGATTCAGACGGGAGAAATTGACGCGTACGTGCTACATGCTAGTGCGGCATACACAATACCCTCCCATGGGGGGAGGATCATATTATTTCTCAGCAGAAGACCAAAAAGAAAATGATGAAAAATTCTATTTTTCCCCCCTCAACTATAAAAATACCTAGAATCTAAAGGTTCTAAAAAAATGTTACATGTACAAGTCGTTTACATCCAAGGCCATTTTCCGTGGAGCGCTGAAGAGAAGGAGAAGAGCGTGGTGACATAGCAAGAGTTTTATAGGTGGTAGGAAAAGGTGGAGGCGGCTGCGTTAGTTCTTTTAGTCTAGCTGCGTTGGTTGGTACAGTGCTGTTCATCCCTTTCACCCAGGGACAAACCATTGGTGAATATGCAGCACTGATGACGTGTATTAATAGTCTGCCATTCTCATTTCCTCTTCATTAAGTCCAGAGATGTGGCGAAAAGTTCCGGAGCTTCAGATTGGTGCTCAGTCAACTGAGGCTCATACAGTAAAGAAGGGAGTTGTCCGTTTGTTGACGTCTATTTGTCCATGAAGCCTGTTCTTCACAACGTTATTGCTTCATCTAAGTGTTAAACATGTTCTGCTCCTTTAAATCAAAAAGCTGCTGGAGAGTAATCCGTTTTCAAATCATTTCAGCATTCTTAAGTAATTCATATGGTTTTAAAACAAGAGATATCATCATATTAGGATTACATCCCTTCACAATAATTAGTTTTTTTTTTTTTTTACAAACAATACTTTTTTTTGTCTAAATCAAAAAATAAATGAGTGCAAAAGTACAACCGATTCCATTCCTTCAATAAGACGTCAAATTATTCAGCATTTTCTGTCTTAACATTTTCATGGAAAGTAAGTCACCTATCCAGTAAATGTTTTGGGTAACAAGCAGACCAGACATGTCCTTCCCACTGGATAAGCTGGCTCCCTTTCACTTTCACTCAGCAAGAGTCCACTAAGGATCTGGTGGGTCAGTCACACTAAAGAACTACACTTTCCAGTGCACTCAGCTCAAATAAAAAACTACAACCTAGTCTGAGCAAAGTTTTCTCTCAATTTGATTTAGTGACCAAGTTACACCATCCAATTATTTCTTGTCAGTATGACCAACATTTAAGATGTCAGTATTCGTCCGTTTTTAACTACCCCAATGTCAGAGCTTACATTAAAAGGAATTGATGTGATGGAGAAGTGTTCTCTTATTGGAGTGTTTAACCCACCTGACCCCCTAGGACTCTGTTTCATTGTAAAAACAAATGGAGATGCAGCAAACAATAAGCCACTCAGTTTCACTGTGGAGACATCGAGGCTCACAAGAATGAACATGTCATTTGTGTTACTGTTATTGTAGTCACTAAACCTTTTTTTCAAAACAAAGTATTGCAAGTAACACAAAGGAATGTAAAACACCACACACACACACACACACACACACACACTAACCCTCAGGGCATTTCTTGTCCTCTACCCCAGGAAATGTCCCTCACCTGGGTTGCCTAAACTCACACTGGGAATATAATCCAAGTCAAAAGACAAACCAGGATAAAGATTTACACTGCAAACATGACACGGTTTATGTAGTAGGCGGCACCGCAAGTCTGTGTTCAAGAGAGCAGCCAGGGTCAACTTCATCTGACCTCGTCTCCTGACCAGTGCAACATACGGTTTAAATGTGGATTAAACATTGTTCAGTGTGATACAGGAGAACGCTCCCAAACACCCCAGGAGTTCATTTACTGAGCTCATGGTGAAAGATGGTATGGGCTGATATGTAGTGCAAGGACAATACGCTTCAGAATCATGCTAGCATTGGGGCTCATAAGATTTCATTGCCGAAAATATATTTAAGGGGACAGTGACATGTTAACCAGGTCTTCCATGGAGTCCAAGGGTTCCTCAGAGAAATCACATAGGCACACACAACTTCAGACAAACAAGGAAAACTCAGGTCCCTCTACCCAAATACAGGGAAGTCATTAGAACCAAAGCCTACTGTAGACATGGGGAACAGACACACACACACAAAGCAAAGCTCAAATCCCAGGGACGTTAAACCATGTAGCTTATTTTCTCATAGACAACAGCCATCAACAGTGACAAAAAAATAATCTTTTTTAATCTTCTTTTAAATCTTCTTTAAGGGTAATTGGAGTGCTTTCTTCCACCTAATATAGTTCAATAGGTATATCTCTCTCTGTGGTCAGTCTCAGTAGCCAGTCTTTAAGTGTTTAGCCAGTCTCTCCCAGTATGGCAGTCCAGTGAGGCGGAGAGGCCGTCAGGCTGCCCTATTCCAAGATGGCCACCTCTACTTGACTTCCAGCATGGAGGGGTTGGACTCCATGATGGCCACGATGATGCGGTCGATGTAGTCCTGTAGTCGGAAGTTGACGTCCTCCTGCTTGCGGATGGCCTCCATCAACTGCAAAAAAACAAAACAGATCTAATGTTTACAAGGATAGTAACTTAGTGACCTTTTCATTTGCACTGAACAATTATTCAAGATGGTAAAAAGGGACAACAAGATATACAATATAGAGTTCAGCAAAATATATGTTTAAGATTCCGAATTTTGATGGGGCCACAATATGGGCACCAGGAGTCTTAAGAAATGTATTTTATTCCACCTTTATTCATCAAGGTTAGTCTCACTAACCACATTTCCATCCAACCTTTTTATGCGAGTAAAAATGTCACGACAGGCCTGATGAAAACAGCAAATTTGTCAGTAAACTTTCCAGATGTCAACAAAACAAAATACGCTAGATAAGGTGGGATCTTTTTGTGTCAGTAAAATTAATTATGCGAAAAATGGCAGTAGAAACACTTTTATGCACAAATATTGATATAATAACCATTTTATCAAAGCAAAGTTGGAGTCACGCGATGACGTGTGGTCCTCCCTCTACGACGCGGGAAAGCATGCAGTTTATTAGGCTACACATGAAATAAGTTATGATGAACTTCACAGGGTGGTGAAAGTGCACGGTGATGAGCTTGATGCTGCTTTCCAATAAATATTGAGGGTCTTATTCTAGTGACATGAAGATCGATGCTTGGCTGCCATTTGACAAATTAAAATAATCTCGCTCTGTCCTTTTGTCCATAATAATCTCGTCATGTAGGCTATACCCGCAAGCTCTTGGCTAGAGCGCATGTGCCAAGACCAGAGTGGGCACATTCGCTATATAATGCACCTGCCAATACCAAAGTGGGCACATTCGCTATATAACGCAACATTTTTGGTGACAAAAATCAGCAGAGTTGAACATGCCATCGAAACCCATTTAACTTGTATTTTTTATTAGGTACATGGGAATTTAACTGCAAAAGTTATTTTTATGTGCACAACGTCAATCACGCACATACTTTTCTCTGCATCAACTTAATTATATGGAAACACATCTCCGGCAGGAAAATGTGCATTTTTTATGTAGCTTTGTGGATTGTAGAATATTTGCATGAAAATCTGTCGCCAATTGGATGGAAACCTAGCTACTGAGATAATGGACGTGGACATATATTTATGACCTTTACATCAATGCATCGCCTTCACTGTATATCTATGTGTATCTACTGTATACATGTATCTATCTATATTGTGACTCACCTCTCCCCGGGACACAGAGTTGATCTCGGCGGCCAGTGACTCGGAGAAGGAGGCCGTCACCAGGTTCTTGGCTCCCTGGATGCTCAGGTTGATGATCTGGCCGTTCAGTTCGTCGTTCTGCTCCTTCAGACTGCGGTTGTCCTGCTTGAGGCGTCGGATCTCCTGCTCCAGCTCGGCCTCGCGGGTGCGGCTCTGGTACTCCTGCAGCCCGGCGCTGGGAGAGCGCCCTCTCCTAGCCTCCGCCTCCAGCTTGTACAGCTGCAGGTGCTCCAGCTGCTTCCGCAGGTCCTCAATCAGCTGGTGGAGGGAGAGAAGGGGGAGGGGGGGGGGGGGGAGAGAGAGAGAAAGACCGCTGTTAGAGAGAGATAGTCTATTCTGCAAGAGCAACTAGTCACCAACCGTTGGAGGGGTTGGTTGAAAAATAAAAATAAAGGTTTTTATACATTTTCTACCCAGCAGCTGAGAAATAACGAAAAGCCAAAAGGAACCCTAATCCTACTCATTGACAGACCAAAACTAAATGACGGACAGCCCTCCACATTTGACGTGTATTCAGAGTCAGGTGTCACCTCGTGACCTCTCACCTCCTGCGTGTGCTCCTTTTCCTTCTGGTTCTGGTGGCGCTCATGGGTCAACTTGTCGGTAGTCTTCCTCCGGGTTTCCAGCTCCTCGTTCAGCCGCTCCGTCACGTCCTCCACCTCGTCCTCCAACTTCCTCTTCTCCTGATGGGCGAACAAGAGGAAGGAGGGATGAGAGGAGAGATACATAGATAAGGTATGGGAGGGAAGAGAAAGGACAGATGAGTGGGAGGGAAGGAAACTTGGGAAATGGGGGTTGAGGTGGATGGAGAGAAGAGGTAAACAGATAAGGGATTGGAAGGAAGAGAAAGGAGAGATGGGGGAAGAGAAGGAAACTGGAGGGGATAGGGAGGTGGAAGGAGAGGAAAGGGAGGAGGAGAGAAGACAGTGCTCTTACCTCCTCTAGTCTCTCGATGTTGGCGCGGTAACAGGGCACACAGGACCTCAGCTCACTGTTCTCCTCATCTAGCTGCTGCAGCCTAGGGCAGAAAACAGCACAGTTCGATTACATATAGCCACGGTACACATTTGACAACCCCCAATTCAATCTATTCAAATCATTCATTCAACAAATTCAATTAAACATTCTGTTCCACACACTGACACATTCACAGCTGAGGAGATACAGTACAGTACAGCTGACCTAGCCTGACGCCCTAGCTGCTCTGTCGTTCGCTACATACTTTAGTCTGAGACTGCCATCATTGAAGTCGTTTGTGGTGACGAGGGGCACGAGGGGTGTTGTACAAAACAAAGTCATCAGCGATCGGATCGTCTCTAACCAATCAAACTATCAAAGCCAATGACATATTTTCAAAACGCCGCTTTACCCACGTGTGTTCTGGCTCTGGCCCAACCCATCGGTTTCTGGACCAATCAGCCGGCCCCGAACGTGTTCGCATTTGGTGAAGGGTCAGGGAGGTACTCAGATCCAGACTCATTGCGGAGAAGGAAACTAACGTCCGTGGGCGTGGCTTTTGGCCGAAGCAAGGAGTCTTGGTAGTCAGGCAACAACTGACCTGCTGTGACACCTACAGGTAACTGCCAAAATAAAGGAAACACCAACATAAAGTGTCTTAATAGGGCGTTGGGCCACCATGAGCCGCCAGAACAGCTTCAGTGCGCCTTGGCATAGATTCTACAAGTGTCTGGAACTCTATTGGAGGGATGCCACACCATTCTTCCATGAGAAATTCTATATTTGTTTTTGGTTGATGGTGGTGGAAATTGCTGTCTCAGGGGCCACTCCAGTGTTCAATTGGTTTGAGATCTGGTGACTGAGTCGGACATGGCATATGGTTTCCATCGTTTTCATGCTCATCAAACCATTTCAGTGACCACTCGTGGCCCTGTTGATGGGGGCATTGTCATCCTGGAAGAAACTTCCATCTTGATAGAAATGATTCACCATAGGTTGAAGGTGATCACTCAGAATGGCAGTGTATTTATTGCCGTTTACCTTGAGTAGACCTAAACCATGCCAGGAAAATGCACACCATAACAGAGCTGCCAGAACACTCATTTACTCAAGTGTTTCCTTTATTTTGGCGGCTACCTGTTACATACATGTCTACTCTACTGAGAGAAACAGCTTTGGGATCAAAGGCTTTGGGAGGGTTGTGGTACTCTAGACCAGGGTTTCCCAAACCTGGTCCTGGGGCCCCCCCTGGGTTCACGGTTTTTGCCCTAGCACTACACAGCTGATTCAAATAACCAACTCATCATCAAGCTTTGAATCAGCTGTAGACCAGTAGGTGGCAGTGAAGCCCCACAATGTCACTGACCGACACAGTCAATGGAGCAGTGTTGACAATCACAGCCTCTAAAGGCCTATGCACCAGGCAGGCACACCAGCTGGCCACCCTTGCTACACACACACACACACACACACACACACACACCTGGGCAGAGCTGAAGTGAAAAATTGCTCTGACCCCCCCCCCCCCACAAACACAGACCTCACAGGATGCTACGCACAGGATGATAACCACTCTCCTCGTCTTACCAGACACATACCCACCCCCCACATACCTAGCCTGCAGGTTCTCCAGCTCCAGGCCCCTCTCCCGCTCCAGCTTGGTGAGGGCGTCCTTGTGGCGGCGGGTCTCCTGGTGCAGGTGGTCCTCGGCGCGGAGCTCCTGCTCCTTGAGCTGCTCCTCCAGGGCGTTGGCCCGGTGCACCAGCTGCAGGTTCTCCTGGCGGAGGCGCGCGTGTTGCTCCCCGCTGGCCTCCGAGTCCTTCTCCAGCTCCGCCACGCGACGCTCCAGCAGGAGCACCTGGGAGGAGGACGGGGTGAGGGTTAGCACAAAGCAGTGTTTGTTTATTAGGATCTCTTTTAGCCCACAATGGGGGGGGCGACTCTTCCAAGTCTTTCCAAGGTGTTCTGTGGCACAACACTGTGTGGAATTGACCGGTGCATTGTGGCATTTAAGCGATGCCATTGAGAACTGGATGATCTTTTTTATTTCATGTTCAGTGGTTTCAAGTTTTAATGTCACATGCACAGGTACAGTGAAATGCCTTTCTTTCAAGCTCTAAACCCAACAGTGTATGATACAGTGTATGACGTGGTGATATTGTGTTGTTTGACACGGAACTCTTTCTTTCCATTGACATACAGTGCTGTATAATGCTGTTTGGCACTGTTGCTAAACTCGGTATGATGCTGTATAATCTTATGATGGCTGTGTTGTGACGTTGAACTCTGACCTTGTCAGTGATGTCGGTGTCGGCCAGGTCCAGTATGTCCCGCGACAGCTCGCTCATGCTGTCCAGCGTCAAGGAGCTGTTCTGGAGGAGGTGTCTTTAAAACGCCGGAGAATAAATACATGTTTGTGATAAAGAAAGCAGCTCAAAACTGTTCCGTCCTGGAAAGCTTTCACTATACAGTTTCACGCTAAGTCAGGATAGCTTGTTGCGTTTGTCAAAATCCACCATATTTTCACATTCAATCTAAAATAATATTCTACTGAATTCATGAAACTAACTCATTTTGACCTACCGTGCTACCTTCTTGCTGGACAGCCTCTTGCTGGAGCTGAATGGGGGGATGGAACAACAGGAAACCAGTCAAGACGAGAGAAAGAACAGTTGAAAGAGACAACGTCTGTCTCCTGGTGTCCTTCCTCCCTACCCCTCCATCCCCTCGTTCCAAAACTCAGAGGGATAAAGAGGTTGTCATACCGGGAGCATAGGAGCATAGGATCCTGAAGTACGGTACATGTTCACATGCACGTCTGCACACACACCACAGCAATAAAAACACACACATTTGAAATGCAACAGAAAACAAAAATGCGTGGTTTTTTATTGGACAAGTCTATGAGGTAGGCCTAGTCACTCCCTGTTTGAGTCCATTTTCATCTGTTTGGTGCCTAATGAACACAGCCCAGACACAAAAGCATGTGCATTGGCTAAAAAGGTTCGTTTTTCCCATCAGCACTCATGCTTGAACAGGTACAAGATGATTCAGTCCATTTGTAAGGTTGCAATGGAATGAGTACTTTAAATGGAATATGAGAGCAATGACCTAAGCCATACACCACTGCCAATGACGTCAATCACCTGGAAGTTAATTCAGGTTTAGCATTTTTTTGTTGTTGTTGCAACGTTTGTCACTGCACACATGGAATTGTTTCCAGGTCCTTGACAGGATGCGATATATGTATGCATGAAACTCATAAGGCATGCACTGATATGAGCAATGGGAACTCTGGGAAAACCTTCTGTTGGCCACCTGGCACTAACAGCTAGAGCAAAGCACAACGGTCCACCTAACTCACCTTTACGAACATCGACTAACAACCTTACAAACCTGATTTATATCGCTACAGCCCAGACACCGTGAGCAAGCTTGAGTTTGAGTGAGAGGTTCTCCCCAAAGACAAGTCAAGCCAAACTCTAACTCACACACAAACGTGCACTGAAGAGTCAAGATGAGTGGCGTGAGATGTGTGTGACGACCTATTCAAAAACATACACACAAACACTGTCAAACTCTGTGCATGTGTCTGTCTATTTGACAGTATTAAACACACGTGTGTGCATCTTACAAACTAAACACAACAGGACAGCACACGCACAGAGAACGAGAGCAGTGTGTGTTACCTAGTCAACACGGCAATACACACACACACACACACACACGGGATAACCTTAGTGGTGGTGGGGAGTGTTACCTATTCATCTCTAGGAAATTGAGGCGAGTGGAAAGGTCCTCCAGGCGAGAGATTTGTTTGTGACATTGGTTACAGAAAAAATCCAGTGCCTCCTCCCTGAGGAAGCTCTGAAAGCTGTCAGGGAGAGTAGTGGGGGTGCTGGGGAGAGAAAGAGAGGAGGAAAGGAGGAGAAGGGGAGTGAGTGACGGAAAAGTGGGGTGCACCGTGATGGAGAAGAGGAAGCTTTGGGGATCAAGAGTGCAGGATTATGAGAGTTTGTGAAAAGGGAAACTTTGTGAGTAATTGGGCTGTGGAGTTCACTGAAAGGATGGATTCCGTCTAAGAGCGCTGTTCCAACCAAGGGTTCTTCCTGTCCCTTCAACGAAAGGGCTACTGTCATTGGGCACACCTTTATATGTACATTCATGTATTACTTTAGTGACTTGGCTCCGATGAGCTGCAGTGAGGTTCATATTCAGTTCACTTGAACAAAACAAAACCTGCATCGCTATTCCTAGCACACAAACAAACATCAATAGTTAACTTAAGTGTGTTTGGCGCTGCAGCCTCTCCTCACATCACCTTTTCTGGCTGATTATTTATTCAGAGAGTGCATCTCGTCTGTGTTTTGCAATAGGCTGGCTCCGATTCCTGTACGTGTGGCGTGTGTGTCTCGAGGTGGTCATAGGTTCCTGTGAATCACTGCTGTGCCGTCTCAGGCATTTTCTGCTGGCTAGCTTGTAATGAAGGACACTTCTGTGCAGTTACAGCTGCAGTAGGGTGTGTTTGTAGACACAGTGGCAGCGGAGCAGCAGTGTACCGTCTAGGTGTGTGTGTGTGTGTCTAGTAAGATGAGGAGAGTGGTTAGCATCCTGTGCGTCCAAGAGGTGTGTGTTTACACACATCAGTGTGGAGAGGGTCAGAGCCATTTTACACTTCAGCTCTGATCAGTAGCACGTCTCTCGGCATCACCACATACACTACTGCACTAACCACAATGCTCCTGCAACACACTATGAATCACAATGGACTCTTTCAAACTACCCTAGTGCCCATTCATTTTAGTTGGAAGGAATTTACGGTTGTAAGGTTGAATTACCAAGGGGGGGGGGGGGGGGGTTTAGTATTACTGGTAACTCGGAAGGAATCATTAAAGCCAATCCATTTAGGCCAGCTTATTTCCATATTGTGACCGAGAAAAGCTAGGCAGTTAGCTGGCTAAGAACTTACAGGAATGAAAGATAGGGAAAATATCACCCAAATGGGAATTATGCATTATCCGGCTTAGTGTCTTAGTGAAAACAGAGTGTAGGAGAAGGAGGGGGTGGAGCGAGTGCAGAAAAAGAGGAGAGGAAGTGCTCAGGAGTGTTCAGGCAGAGCAGTACTGTGTCAGAGGAAAGTGAGAGGGGACTGAGTGTTCATGTGTGGTCAGGTGAGACACACTTAAAGCAGTCCATACTGGCTGGCTCAAACCCCAGCTTTGTTAGCAAGCCTATGGAAAGCCTGTAACTCTCAGTTTTGGCTGAATTCTATTCAATAAACATGCTCGGTTCTATCTCTCCTTGATGACTGGATATGTGTAAGCATTTGGTGTGCAGTAGCTTTACCTCAACAGATGTTTTAATAAAAGAGTAAGCAGCAACAGGAAGAGTCGTAAGTAAGTGAACTTTAACCTTGTTCCCTTTTATCTCGTCCTTCAGGAGCAGGAGGCAGTGGGGGTGGAATGGAAAGGAGGCCTCCAGAGAGTTCTTATCAATGTTTGACCTCCAGTCTTTCCAAACATACAGCCAGTCAGTCTGCTTATAACAGCACCAGGGAAGGTTGTGGCTAGGAAACTGCAGCTGAGAATGTAGAGTCAGACTAAATCTACCCTGCTACTCTATCCAGCAAGACAACGCTTTCCCTGCTCCCTGACAGGAGCCAATGACGAAGACTACTAACATCTACACTGTGTGTTTGACGGTACCCTAGGATAAAGTAATGTTATTGTTGGTAACAATGTGGCAGCTACTGTGGGTGACCTTCATCCGACACGTCAGAGTTTTGAACTGATTAGTGGCACTTAAAAACATAGCCTACACGACACAACTGCTCAGTCACAGTCTTACTTTGAGTGCTCAGTTGGACCCTGACTGAGTGTGGGCTATAGACTGGGCGCTGTTCTTTAGGGTGGTCCGTACCTGGGAGAGAGTAGCAGGGAGGAGCAGTTGTTCTGGTCGGGGGTCTGGAGGTGGGACGAGTCCCCCTCTCCCTCGGTTCCCTCCTCGGTGGTGTCCAGCAGCAGCTCCGAGGTGTTGCTCTCCCCAAAGTCCTCAAAGTGTTCCTCCTCCCCGCCAATCACTGTCACCAGGGTGTGGCTGTGCAGCTCAGAGCTCAGGGAGAACCTGAGGGACAGAGAAAGAGGGATGAGCGTGTATAAAAGGAGAGCGAGAGAGAGAAAAATAGGAGGAAGAATTCACACACAGGGATTGCATATAGCCACGTTCACATAGAGGTATTTTTTCTACATTTACCCAACTTTGTGCAGGTATTGGTGTCTGTATCAATGGTGTCAGGGGTAGAAATGCCAGAAAAATCTTGATTGGCAGTTTACTGGCGTGAGACCTACTCATGGTTTGTGGTTCTATGGCTGTATGTGCGTTTGTTCTTTAAATTGTGTACAAACTCATTTACAGGCTAAAGTTAGGGCTAGAGTTACGTTTTTATACCTGACTATCTGTAAAAACAGATCTGGGTTCCTTCACCTACAGACCACAGTGGCATCCTGACCTAACACGGAGGATCTATTTTAACACGGCTTCAACCAAATTAGAAGCGCTAAACTATTACAGTAAGAGTGTGGATATGTTCCAAGTTCTATATGCAGAGTTTAGCACACCGTTTGTGTTGAACTGAGACGCCTGGAAAGCAACTAGCCTGAATCCTACGAATAGAGTATTTGGCATCACAGATTAAGACAGCCCTGCAAAGTGCCCAGCAATCTGGACAAGTTTGAAAATCAATTGGTTTTAACGGTAATCTGCTAATTCATTAATCCTACAGACTCATTGGTCGAAATGAAGCACATTTAATGTTTGTGGTCCACCGGCAATGTAAAGCTGATGTCTAGCTATACTCGCTGCATGAGAGTGGAGCTTTCACTGGGTTCTATGTAGGGTAAGCTTAAGAGGTGACCTTAATTGAGACGAAACAGGGCGAAGCTTCTCATCAAGTTTAAAATTAGCAGGCTAACTTTCACACAAATAAATAGAAAGCTAAAGTTAGCCATGTTTAGCCACCAAAATAGACATGTTTGGCTTGTCTGCGATGGCTAAACTGGTAGGTTCACCTGAGTTCAGCTGATATACAGTACAGTGGCCTTGCGTTCTGTAACTGGAAAGGGTATTAGATAGCCAGACTTTCCTTTGTACCCCACAGAACATGAAGGGTGGCTGGAGTGTAGCTACATACACACAGGATTTCCACCTCAGCCCCATTCCAAGGGTTGCTGTCATCCAAAGACAAAGCCTAGTTCTATTTCTTGTGTTTACAAGTACAGAGTCAACAGACTTATAACCCACTCAATCCTACCCTCAAATTCACTTTACGCTAACCACCGACACGGTATCCTGCACTTGGTCACTGATCCCACAGACCCATCCACTTCAGATACACTTTAGCCTCGCTCAACTCAACATTAAAAAACAATTAACACCGACTCAGCACAATACTTGTAACAAGCTAACACTTGAACACTTTAACATAGCACTCAAAATCTCAACATATTTGACTAGCAACTCAACCCAACATTCGGACCCACTTACCCACTACTCAGCCCAACACTGAGGTCCCTAGTAAGGTCCCGCACATGGAGGGCAGGTGAGGAGAGAGACCGCATCTTCAAACGCCGTCCGCTGCCACCGCGTCTCAACCTTGGAGCAACTGGAGACAGACGACCTCCAGCCAACCAGAGCGGAATCCTGAACACTCACTGGTTACACCAACCCAAGAGTAGTACTGCCCAGTTCTTCAGTTAGGAGACGATCCCAAAGACCTTGTCCACTCAAGGGATCAGTCCATGGTACCCAGAAAATGTTACTGATAGTTGCACACTCTTCTTTCCTTGCACGTTTAATAAGTTACCACCAACTTGGTCGACTAAAAAGTATTCGTCACAGTCTGTAACCACAAATGATCAGTCCTCACAAGTGACCCGTCGGTTGTCCCCTGTTACCATGGGCTCTTCCCCATAGACTGGAGGCAAGATGGGGAGGCAGGCTGTGAGTGGCTGAGGGTTAATAAGATTAAGGGCTAAGCAGGGGCACCAGGCAGGCGCGGTGACTGGCCCGGGCCCAGCCGAGTGAGGTAGTGTTGGGGTAGGACACGATGGGCGAATGGGCTGGGGGTGGGTAATCCTGTTAAACTCCTAATCCTCAGCCAAGAGCATAGACTCATACATGTAATGGCCGTCTCCTGGGCCACAGAAACTACTAAGAGGTGTTGAAAAACCAAAGCTTAAAGGCCCTTTTGTTAAACGTTACTGACAGTGTTGAGTCATCGTGTGTAGGAATAGGAAATTCCTCTAGGTCTTTATCCAAGAGCACATGACAGGGAGGTGGGAGTGTGTTGTTATTGTGCTGATTCGCTTAAAATATTTTTAATGGGGCAGGATCATCATGGGAGCCATCACTTGATTCCAGTGGACTCCAGTGGAATATGATGTGAGTTACACACATAGGCCTGCTGTATAACAATTGCTTTCATGAAGCCAATTTATAATTTTAGAGTAGCACATCTGATTGTTATATAATTATCTTTACCTCTGATGGTCAAACGGGACTGTTGTGATCCCACCGCTGCCACCAATTGTAAACCTTTTCACAGTGACATCAACTCAAAATGGTTGTGGTTGGTTTTTGTAATTCACCTGCTGTGATCTTCTGACCCATCAGTGACAGACAGGGCAATTCAACACAGGAAATATGGAACTCAAAGAAGGAACTGAGCTGAAATGCAGAGGAATCTGTCTCAAGGAAGAATGGATAGGTGAGGCCTGAGATAGCCACAACAAGCTAAATCTAGAAAGTTGTATAAGAAAACACCTGTATGTGAAGAGTAACAGGGGCATGATCTGACATAGCAGAGTAGAAAATGGATGTTGGATAGACTTTGCCGTTTGGCAGTGGAATACATTTCTATTCAAAATGTGTCAACACAATTCAGCCCAGCGAAAGGTCAAAATTTACTTAAAGTCTTTTATTTCGGGGGAAGTTCAGCCCTGGTGAGTCAGGGGACGACCTTCCATAATTCCTGCCAAACCGCTGATAGTGCAGGACTGCTGAAACAGGAGAAAGTGGAAGTGTCTGCCGGCCGGGCTTTCCATCAGCATGAAGGAAAGAGGTGGCAGGGAGCGGGAAGATGGGGCCCTCGCCAGAAAAAAAGGAAAAGAACAAAAAAAGAGCAAACTCCACACTTCCTGGAATTCAAGGCTCAGCTGTGGACAGGAAGTCCAAACACATCCCTGTCAACTGGTCCACCCCCCCCTGATCCGTCATCTACCCGGAGAGACAGGTTACACAGTCAGCAGATAAGGCCTCATTCCCCTACACTTCCTCCTCCCTCTTGACTGACCCCAGCACTACAGGCAAAAACAACTCATTAATACACTCAGAATACAGACCCCAAACAGTAACTACTTTCTTGAGCGGATGGTCAGGGGTCCGGAACATAATTACAAATAATTTGTAGACTGCAAATTGACCGCAAGAAGCCAAAACAGATATAAGATGACTAAACATAATCATTTCAAACCTTGCTTACATTTGTTACGATCAAATATATCTCTCTATTATACTTTGGAACATATAAAGTCACCCGCGGGCCAAATTCGGCACGCGGGCCGCCAGTTGGGGAACCCTGGCCTAAAGTAAAATCAAGTTACTGCAGTCGTAGCCTACATAAAAAATGACTTGATGTAAACTTCTACAATCAGGTGTCAAACACTTAAACACATAAGCTCTTGACAGAGATATCTGGAACAGTGTGCTGCCTGTGTCAAGTGGCTGTTCCAAACAGGTGGCGGGCACTAATCTGACATCTTAGGAACAGGGCATTGGGACACACTACAGAGGGACCACAGTTAATAATCTTTGCCTCATTCTAACTATTGACCCAATTAAATCATTAGGGGTGGAAGAACCCAACCAAAACAAATTCTTAGACAAAGAGCACAATACATTTTTTTAAAAAAACATTTTTTAGTCATTTAGCAGACGCTCTTATAATAATAATAATAATATGCCATTTAGCAGACGCTTTTATCCAAAGCGACTTACAGTCGTGTGTGCATACATTTTTGTGTATGGGTGGTCCCGGGGATCGAACCCACTACCTTGGCGTTACAAGCGCCGTGCTCTACCAGCTGAGCTACAGAGGACCACACCCAGAGCGACTTACAGTTAGTGCATACATTATATTTTTTTCCCCCTGTGGGAATCGAACCCACAACCCTGGCATTGCAAACGCCATGCTCTACCAACTGAGCTACATCCCCTGCCGGCCATTCCCTCCCCTACCCTGGACGACGCTGGGCCAAATGTGCGCCGCCCCATGGAGACAATGGTAATATGTTATCAGTATTTGCCCGAAGGGACAATATGTCTAGTTTTTGCCCTAAGGGGACAAATAAAGTAGCATTAACTTGAAACAAACTGAACTTGTTGGGCGTTGACAATACTCCACAAACAGAGCTCAAAACGCAAGAGGTGTCATGCTATTGCCTGCTTTCCGCTAACCAGAAAAGTTTAGGTAAAAATGCAGGTAAATGTCAATATAAAATATTAACTTACTGTAATCATTGCAGCAACACATAACTCTTGGCCATTGAAGATCAACTGATCTCAAAGCTCATAGTCAGCCAAAAGACAAAGTCAAACATTCAGTGGATAGATCAGGGCTCACATGGCTGTCTCTTCAAGGTCTCTGGATATTACATTGTGTCTGAGTGTGAGGTCATCTCTAATGTTGTGCAGCACCAGAACAAAAAAACAAGGGTAGAATGTTCAACAACCCAAGTGTAGTTTAATAGTGGGATAAGCAAGTTCCTTCCAAACTGTCAGTGATCTATTATGCCTTTGAAAATGATGATGATGACCTAAGATCTCTGTTCTCTACCATCTGGTCCTTACTAAATAAATAAAATCGTCACTCAAAATAACTATGATCTCCAGGCTTTGTTCCTCAAATAACCATGTGCTGTATTTCATCACAATAATCACTTTATCTAGGCCTGCAAGCTATCTGCCATGTGTTGAAGACAGGTCCCACTGCAAATCTAAGAGTCCAAAACACATCTGGCCAACAGTAATCGTCCAATAGTAAGAAAATACCATGATCTATTTAATTTGTCAACTGATCAATTCAAACCATAGTAATTAGACTAGAGGGACATGAGAGCCTGCATGCACTTGAGGAGCAGCCATGACCAACCACCCTGGAGAAACCATAAACAAAAGGCATCTTCAATTAGATTGATATGATAAGACTTTCGCTCTCTGTAGACGAAAGGTATTTCAAGCCCAGGGCCATTACAATGGTGGCTATTATTGCCTCTATTTAATCTCTGTCTGGTGACCCACATAGACTCCCAAGTCGTCTGTAGAATCTAAGACGAGATACAGGCTTGATGATACAGAGGCTGTGATGACTGGAGCTTGCGTTAGTTTGGCTTATCCTAGTTAATTCCCATTACTATTTAGGCCTATATGTACTATAGTGTTACAGTGCAAACCCCTGGTGTCTGAGTGATGAGCAGTGACTGGTTGGGTGGTATTCAGGACAGCTTTGACCTACCTTTGCCTCACCTCGACTTCGCTACATATGGGATTACAACTTTAGCTCAAGGTTAAAGGTGGACTCAGCGATATGACGTAGATGCAGAAAGTAAACAGCATAGTGGGTCAATTTACGCAAACAACTAAGAGCGCTGAAGAGTGAAGCTCAACTTCTTCGCTGTTTTGTTCCCGTGGCTACCACGTTGTAAAGTCACGAAGCGAACCCCATGCACATTGGCAGATACTATGTGTGACTGTGTGAGAGCGTCTTGCATTTCGCACAGCGCAATATCTGCTGTGCCAACTGTACGTGGGTCGAGTTAAGGGGCCGCGGTTAAGGTTATAGGTGACGATCAGGACTAACTATTGGGCCAGGGGCCTGTCCTGAGAAAACTGCAAATGACCATGCAGCCTTTCGCTCCACATGGAGTAAAGAGGCGTAAGGGAGCCAGAACTGACCTGTTGCTGCTGTCCTCAGGGTCGTGGAGCGTGGCCTCGATGCCGCTGTCCGTTTCCACATCCTCGTGCATCTCGGGCTGGACCAGGGCTCCGGTGTCCTCGTCGGTGAACGTCTCACACTCGCTGTAGGTGCTCTCCGAGCCCAGGTAGGCACTGTCTGTCACTTCATTCTGCTACAGGAGGGAAATAGGACCATTTTAGTTCTCCTATAAGACAAAGTTAGTAATCATATAACTTCACAATAGTGGTCTAAAGTATGTACATTTTTTGTTATTTAGCAAGACGCTCTTATCCAGAGCGACTTACAGGAGCAATTAGGGTTAAGTGCCCTGCTCAAGGGCACATCGACAGATTTTTCACCTAGCTCGGGGATTCCGAACCGTAACTGGCCCAACGCTCTAAACCACTAGGCTACCTGCCGCCCTGGTACACAAAGAGAGTTAAGTGGATGTCATTTGAATTGAGAAATCATTTCCTGGTGACTAAAAATAGCAGTATGATGTCTGGTAGGTCCATACAGTAGCTAATGTGTGGGTGGACTGTATAAAGCAAATCAACATCAAAACACCCCGTTCAGAGCTGATGACTACATACACAGGCTGTAATGGACATGGTTGAGACTTATGGCCTACTTTTTCCTAGCTATAATTTTGCTGACAGCATTCATTGATATAAATTATGACTCCAGAGGAAACATGTTTATCTGTGACGCATCCTGAGCAGATATGGAAAGAAACAAACGGTGGTAATGATTAACAAGCTGTTACGTATATCATGAAACCAAGCAGCACAGCTTAATTATGATCGTTATGGATTGTAGAGGCCAAATTGTGTCAATCTTGAGAAGTCTGTTAAAAACTTGACATCACCAATCATTGACAGTTATTCAAAGAAAACAAGCAAAGAAAGACTATTCTCATAGGAGACCATATTCACAATTCAACTGTTGCCAGTGGCGGTGAAAAGCCAATTAGAGCAGCATCCAAACAAAATATGCGGCATAAACACATATCAGATGGTTTCAGATGTCCGTGCCAAGCAAAACCTGCTGTGTCAACACCTCGAGTCAACACTGACTAACACAGAGATTTCACTTCCTAAGCTCGAAGCACCAAAACATCCAAATGTTCAGATAGATACTCAATAGAACTTCATAAGACATTTAGCTATAACCAGAGCCTGCCAGGTGAGTCTTAATGAGTCCAGAGCAAGAGAGCCCTCATGGGAGAGCCTCCCATACCTGTCTGTGTGGAGCTCCAGGAGGAACCGGGCCCAGAGGGCTGTCCACCATGCCCAAAACCATGCTGTCTGCCTGGGGCTCACGGGCAGGAAGACTGGCCTGTCATGAAACCCCCAGTAATTTCCCCTCCTAGCGCTTCCTCCTTTTCAATCTCAGAAAGCAAGAGTGTAAAACACAGAATCCCCAACACCTAGTTCAGCTCCAGTCGGTTCTCAAAAGGGGTGGAGTCTGGAGACTGAAAGAGTCCGAAGGGCAGGGGAAGGCAACGGTACAGGCCGTACTCCCACTACCACCCCAACTACCCCTCTCACGGAATTTGATGGTAAAAACATCATATGAAAGAAAGGGAGCAATGTCCCCTTTAACTTTTCTACTTCAATGTCTCTAGTTCCTGGACCAATGTGACAGGGTGAATCATTAAGCCACCGCCTGTTCTACCCGTCTTCACAGGCTTGTATGATTGGACAAAGAGGGCCATATACTACATAGAGCCATGACTACATGGAACTCTATTCCACATCAAGTAACTCATGCCAGCAGTAAAATTAGATTTAAAAATCAGATAAAAATACACCTTATGGAACAGCGGGGGACTGTGAAGCAACACAAACATAGACACATGCATACACACACACGCACTATACACACATGTACACATGGATTTTGTGTTATAGATATGTAGTAGTAGAGTAGATGCCTGAGGGCACACACTTAATATGTTGTAAAATCTGTTATTAATGTATTGTAATGTTTTTTAAATGTATAACTGCCTTAATTTTGCTAGACCCCAGGAAGAGTAGCTGCTGCCTTGGAAGCAGCAAATGGGGATCCATAACAAATAAAAAATATACTGTATGTGCATAGCCATTAACTGACTCATTGTTTACCTTAAAGGCCCAGTGCAGTAAAACATTTGACTTTCATGTGTTTTATATATATTTCCAAACTATGAGGTTGGATACTGTAAAATGTATGATACCCTCTTAGTGTAAGAGCTGTTTGAAAAAGACTGTCTGAAATGTCAGCCTGTTTTGGTGGGATGGAGTTTTGGCCTGCCTGGTGATAGTAAATTAGTTAATAGACCAATAAGAAAGAGAGTTCCAAACCTCTCTGCCATTAACAGCTAGTTTTCAGTTTTCCCCTACCCATTCAGACCACTCCCAGACAGTCCTAGCAAAATTATTGCTTGAGAAATCGCTCTTTGCTAAAAAGCATTTATTTATTTCTTTGACCATTTTCATGAAAAACAAATCACAGTAAGGTACTTAATTGTTAACACAGAAATGATTTGATATTGAGATAAAAACGGCTGCATTGGACCTTTAAGGAGGCAAAACCAGCATGACGTAAGCCCAGAGATGGAGCCATTGGAGGAGAGGGGTCTGGATTGGCTGTGTTAATGCATCTCTTCCTTATAAGAAGAGGTTAGGCTACAATGGCCATGTATTGACAGGGAGAGATACTCTCACAATGACAGGGGGGTAACAACGCACTGGTTGGGTGTTTTTTGGGGACGTAAACAAGCTGGCTGAGAGTGGGAAGGACAAGGAAGAGGAAAAGTAGGAGGAGGAGGAGGAGGAGGGTGGGGATGAGGAGGAGGAGGGTGGGGCGTTTGGTTTTCTCAAAGCAAGCAGGCCCTCCGCCCAGCTACCTCACCTCTCCTGTTTTGAGAGCAAACAGGGTTAGAACAGGGTGGCCATTGAGTGAGGAATCTTTACTGCCAGGACCCCAGGGGAAAAACAGAGTTCAGGGACACAGGTGTGGCGTCGACTTTAAAAGCACCAACCACCAACTCTCCCCAAACTCCGTCCAATAGAGCTACCGCTATTTCTTAGGGCAGGACAATTTTTTGAAATGTATACTGTAGTGATACATCAGTTAATGTTTAATTCAATGTCATGGAGAGGACAGACCCAACACTGATCTTAAGCAAACCGTTTCTGCAACTCACTTCACTGTGTTTTTGGAGGTGTGTGCAATAACTAAAGGCTAGTAGTTGTATTATTGTTACTACAGGCTCAGTTGGTAGATCATGGCGCTTGCAACGCCAGGGTTGTGGGTGCGTTTCCCACGGGGGACTAAAATTAAAAAAGTACTCAAACTTTTTGAGGGTAATACAAATGAAAGTCCATTGAAAAACGGTGCTGGACTTGATTCAAACTCTCAAGTAGTCACTAAGACCTAAGTGTTTGGGTGCTAGGTTAGGGCCAAAGCCTGCACACCCTGTGGCCTGACCAGACCGCTGCTGTATATTTGCCTGAGACTACAGACTGCACTAATTAGCCATACCAACGGGGGGTGCTGAAACTACACAGTGTGCAGACTCAGACTGATACAGTGCACTCATACTACAGTGCTGGAAGCAAACTGACTGAATAACAGTAGAAAGAAAAGGTCTAATCTTCATATTCATCATCTTCAGCACCACCCCAACATTTGTGAAAGTGGCGCGTTCTATGTTTTGTAGTAAAAAAGATTGAGAAAGACAAATATTTCCAATGACATCATCAAGCAATTAGCAGGCAATTAGTAGGCTATGCCTACTCACAATTGGTCAAAATCACACGATGCACACCAATGATGTCATTGGAAACACTTATCTTCCACTATGTTTTTTTACTACAAAACATAGAAATGCACCAATTTTCAGGTGATGATGAATATGAAGTTGAACATTTGAACAAGTTTCCCTTTAAATATACAAGTCCACGCATAAGAGGAGCCAGGAATGTCAGATATGCCCCCACCGCAGCTGAAAAAACATAATAGCATGCGTGTGTAAAGTACAACCAGACTCCAACCATTCAATATTTTGTCAAAAGAAAAATACGATGTGAAAATTCAGCCAGATGTCATACGACGGGTGCCAAACTGTAAAGTTCAGCATGCGGAATATTCACGGAGTGGTAATGATAGCTTCGCTGGCCACTCGCTGAATTACTGTGGGATGTGTGAGTGCACAGAGACTTCAGCCTGGGAGCTCTGTATGCAAAGGGACAATGGGGACAGCACAACTGGACCACACAAGACCATAATAAATTACAAATGGGCAGTCACAGTGGTGTACCATGCTATACATTCACATTAGACCACCGTGACCCATATTATACTGCTTTATGTCGAGGGTTCATATACTGTGGTGCAGTCAGTCACACTGTTTTTCTGATGTAGTCAAGTCTGTGTGAGTGGTCATATTGCTAGTAGTAACTGTATTGTAACCAATGACTGCGATGACTATATCCAATGACATCACCCACCTCATCGTACTCCTCTGGGCAGCCCACGGCTCCGTCCCCTGGGCTGAAGTGCACGTCGTAGAGCTGGGGCTCTGCCCCTGCAGACACAGACAGGACAAGGTCAACACATGCAGGCCAATACACACACAGCAAACACATACAGATCAAAGTCAACACAATGCGATGGTAAACACAGAGCCAATATAGAGCCAACATACCACGGAAATATGATAGAACACCGCCACTACACAGGTGTAATACAGTAAACAGAGAAAATACTGTCGGGTCAACTCTGAGAGTTAAAGATTTAACTACACGTTAGAGAATTAATAATAGGCTGCATTGTGTAAGTCAGGCGAATACAAAAAGGATTTCAGCTTTTTTATTAAAAGTGCAAACTTTGAAAGTATACAGAAGGGGGGGACTAAATGTCTGAACCAAAGTCAAATGTGCTATGGTCAACTACAGTGCTTCTTTTACCGTACATGTCCTCGCCGCCCTATTTAGAAAACGAGTCTTTATGCTTGGAGTAACAATCAACATTATGTAACAGTCACATTTCAAGGGCTGCTGTGTGCAATGTGAGTGTGTGAAGTGTGTGTGAGCTAAATCAACCAATAAAAGAACACAAAATGACCCCTATCAAATTCAGATTTAGAGCCTCCAACGAAAGCACCTGCAAATAAGCGCTGTGAAACCCGAGACCGACCAAATCGGGAGCGGACAATAGGGTGTCGGGCCAGACTCCCAGCAGCCACTGGGGAAGGCTCCTCTAGTTAACAGAGCTCTGAATAGCACCCTGCTGCTGAGCTAAAAGAACACAAACAGTGCTCTTGACAGCAGTGGCCGCTGGACCACATGCAGGTTCTACCCTGGTCTTACGTAACAGCCGCTGCTGTTCAGGACTGATACAGATTACTGGGTAGTTAAGTAGAATATAAAGTCTAATTTTGTGCTGGGAGGAGGTTCGCTTGAGAGGGTTGCATGTCCCTCTGTATAGGGTGGCAGAGTGCTGGAGTCGCTTGGCACCAACTCAAAAGAGTCACAATGTACAGGGACACATTGTATTTTCTAAGAGTTGACAGACTTTATTCAACACGTCTCCCTGTGCTACACTGGCTTAGCTATTCCAGACATGCCAGAGACAACACGGGGGGTAAGGTATTTACACTGCCAACAGGCTTTTCTTTATTAAAGGCACCTCCAGCCAGTAACCGACAGAGAAATGACAAGGAGAAACCAAGTTAAAATTTAAAAAAGTAAACATTGAAACTGAACTGTGGTTCCAGTTGGAGCTGGAATAGCAGGTTTTCTGATGTGACTCCAGGGAAACGAGGTGGGGGTGACCAGTGCAGAATACTTGTAGCCCTGAGCAAGGTTGGCTATACAGACGGACTGGAATTCTGACAACGAAGTGTGAGAGGCCGGGGAAGTTAAGTGTTCTGATCTTCACACGTTCATGGCAAACTAGAGTCCTGAGGTTTGAAGAAAATAATTAGGTTAGGCTATATCATGGACTTGTTACAGTGACCTTAGAACAGTCTTTACATGGCTTGAGTGACTCTTTCTCCTGTCCTTTGTGAGGTCTCATGAAATGGATAAGGCGCTGGCACCAGGAGAGAGACATAGTGGGAGAGAGAGACGATGAGAAACGAGTGGGAGAGAGAGAGAGACACTGAATTATTCAGGCGAATAGGACTCAGTCCCAGTCCCTCTCCCTCCCTCCCTCCCTCTCTCATTCTCTAGCTGAAACCTGGCCTAGCAGAAGTCCATGTGCCTCGTGTCTCATGCTTTCCAGCATATTACTTATTAACGGTCCGGGTAAATGGGGCAGTTGTAACCCAGAAAGCACTGGGAAAAACTCCAACACAGACCAACAGCAAAGCAAAGGGCTGTGGTGGCAGCCAGGGCAACAACACTGTTGCGATGACATCAACACAAACCTGTGCAGCACGCTAACACAGCTAGTGTGTGATGTCAACACCGTCTCTGTATGATGATGTCAGCATAGCACCAGGGTGACATTCTTTACCATAATGATGGCAATATTGCTGACGCTTGAGGTGCTTCATGGATGGATAAATCCATCAGCGCTTTACAGTGACTCATAACAGGATTGCAGTGGAATATTTGTTTTGTTTTTATTTGTTTGTAGCAACCGATGATTTATGGGTGGGCTGAAAAACGGACATTGTGTAAACAAGCAGTCTACGGCCTATACTTTTCAGGACACATCTCTCATCCTTCCTTGAAATGGATGAGAAGGTAGAGAGAAACATGACGACTCAGTAGTCAGGCACATGATACATTGCTTCCATTGTTTAGAAAGGAAGGTTTATAGGAGGCTGTAAACGTTCCGTGAAAGAAAAACTATGTGATTTGAAGTGCAGTCTGAATGAAATTGGGTCACTGTTTTTTTCCCCTCCTCAAAACCTTTCACCTTAGCTAAAATCATGTGAGCATATGAACAATGGCAGCTGCCATCAGGAAGAAGCTGGGATAGATAGAGCCTGATAGGACCAACATATGGCACTGGTCAATGGAAGCCCTGATCTTAAAACATTACAGCTCTCCATATTGTTAGTAGTAGCAGACTTAATGAAATGATAGCAATTGCAAATAGTTCATGTAATGATCTATTTGAGTCTATCTAGGGGATAGGGATACTTAGTGATTGACAAAAGTTGCCCCCAAAAAATTGACTAAAATGGTGCATGTCAGTGAGAGCACATAGGCCTCATTTTCGAGCTTTCAAAGGTGTTTCCAAATAAAAGTTCAAACTATGATGGCAGTCATGGTCATCACAGCTTTGGAAGGAAGATCCTCTGACTCACCTCCATTGCTGATGGCCGAGATTCCTCGATGGAAGTCCTCGAAGCTGATCACCCCCAGCCCACTTGGATCCAGGAACTTGGTCAGATCCTTCACCTGTAATACAGAGACAGCCATGTTGGACCTTTCAAACACACTTAGACACAGCAATCAAAAAGCTCACTTCCCCATATAATCAAATCAGCTGTGTTGCCTGAATGCTTTATGAATAAATCAGATTGCATTCTGTCCAAATTAATGTGATGTAAGAGCAATGAGTACATATAATAGAATTAAGGAACAGGGGAAAGCATTCAAATTGAAAGGTTGTAGCTTTGCTAACTCTAAGGACATCAAAAAAATTGACTGCCTAAAAGTACTGATATTTCATTGAGCTTAGTCACGTCATGGAAATGTTTCTGGAATGGCAGAAACATGATAGAAAATTGGCAAAATTACAAAACTGTCTCTCTGAGGCTTCTGTGGTTAGGCTCCTTCAACTGGTATGATGTTTATTTTCAAGACAAGACAATAAGAACCAATAAAAAGTGCTCTGACCTCCACAGAATCATAAATTTCTGTACACGTAGACATATTTCTGATTTCATAACTGGAAATGTGCTTCAATTTTACAGGATTGCAGTGTCCTCAGATAAGGTGAGCTTATGGGTTGAGCTCCAAACGTCTCGCCTACCTCAACACAAGCCCAACACTTCTCTATAAGCCTACCCAAACCAATAGACACACACAAGCATGTCGCTCGCACGCATGCACTCTCTCTCACACACACAACGCAAAACCTTGCGACCACAACTTGCATTTTACAACTTAAATAAAGAGTTCTATACACAAAGAGACAGAGTGCACCTAACCCAGCACTCAAATGACAAGATGTCCCTGTATCCATTCCCCGGGTAACCTGGCAACAAGAGGTGGTATCCAAGGAGATAGGCCTACTAGTGTGTGTGCTTTTCACCCTAATGTATAAGAACTAGACCTCAAAGTATTGTAGACCGAACAGCCAACATAAACATTGTTGTGAGGCTGGAATATGGAATGCACTTTATTGTTTTTGTTTCCTAAAGGTGAACTGCACTCACTGATTCTGTATGTGTTTCTTCCAGTGCGCATTAAGAAATGCAGCGGCCATTACTGAAGCCCAAACTAGAGTTTTCTTTGGGTTGTGGCTAAACTAGAGTTTTCTTTGGGTTGTGGCTAAACTAGAGTTTTCTTTGGGGTGTTGCTTAATGTGGGTGTTTCTTGAGTGTGTCTTTGCCATTCAATCACAACAAACAAACAAGTGCAGTAGTGAGTAACAGCGAGGTAAGCTAAGCTAGCTTTGCTAAGGAGAGAAGTTTTGAAGTTTAAGACTTCTCCCCTCCTGACTGTCTAACCATCTCAAGATGATCTGCTAATTCAGTTCTATGTGTAGGCTAAAGCCTGCGCTGACCTTATGTTTAGCCAACCTGACAGCAGGTAGCTAGCTAGCATAGCAATATGTATCTGTCAAATCACAGTTATATCAACATAGCAAGAAGTACCAGTGTCTGGTACAACACCTTGCTACGAAAGCAGCTTGCAACTTTAAGTTTTATCACGTCCTGTAAAGACATGTTACCATGGAAACGATATCAACAACTGCAAGTTGAATTCCCGGTCTTCAGTCAGCTCAGCTGCCAACACAATTTTCTATTAAAAACAAAACTCCACCCATGCTCTACCAAGGTTTTCCAGCACACAGTGTTGGCCTACTACAGTGCCTACAGTGGGGGAAAAAGTATTTAGTCAGCCACCAATTTTGGAAGTTCTCCCACTTAAAAAGATGAGAGAGGCCTGTAATTTTCATCATATGTACACGTCAACTATGACAGACAAAATGAGAATTTGGTCAATAAGTATTTGGTCAATAACAAAAGTTTCTCAATACTTTGTTATATACCCTTTGTTGGCAATGACACAGGTCAAACGTTTTCTGTAAGTCTTCACAAGGTTTTCACACACTGTTGCTGGTATTTTGGCCTATTCCTCCATGCAGATCTCCTCTAGAGCAGTGATGTTTTGGGGCTGTCGCTGGGCAACACAGACTTTCAACTCCCTCCAAAGATGTTCTATGGGGTTGAGATCTGGAGACTGGCTAGGCCACTCCAGGACCTTGAAATGCTTCTTACGAAGCCACTCCTTCGTTGCCCGGGCGGTGTGTTTAGGATCATTGTCATGCCAGCCACGTTTCATCTTCAATGCCCTTGCTGATGGAAGGAGGTTTTCACTCAAAATCTCACGATACATGGCCCCATTCATTCTTTCCTTTACACGGATCAGTCGTCCTGGTCCCTTTGCAGAAAAACAGCCCCAAAGCATGATGTTTCCACCCCCATGCTTCACAGTAGGTATGGTGTTCTTTGGATGCAAGTCAGCATTCTTTGTCCTCCAAACACGACGAGTTGAGTTTTTACCAAAAAGTTATATTTTGGTTTCATCTGACCATATGACATTCTCCCAATCCTCTTCTGGATCATCCAAATGCACTCTAGCAAACTTCAGACGGGCCTGGACATGTACTGGCTTAAGCAGGGGGACACGTCTGGCACTGCAGGATTTGAGTCCCTGGCGGCGTAGTGTGTTACTGATGGTAGGCTTTGTTACTTTGGTCCCAGCTCTCTGCAGGTCATTCACTAGGTCCCCCTGTGTGGTTCTGGGATTTTTGCTCACCGTTCTTGTGATCATTTTGACCCCACGGTGTGAGATCTTGCATGGAGCCCCAGATCGAGGGAGATTATCAGTGGTCTTGTATGTCTTCCATTTCCTAATAATTGCTCCCACAGTTGATTTCTTCAAACCAAGCTGCTTACCTATTGCAGATTCAGTCTTCCCAGCCTGGTGCAGGTCTACAATTTTGTTTCTGGTGTCATTTGACAGCTCTTTGGTCTTGGCCATAGTGGAGTTTGGAGTGTGACTGTTTGAGGTTGTGGACAGGTGTCTTTTATACTGATAACAAGTTCAAACAGGTGCCATTAATACAGGTAACGAGTGGAGGACAGAGGAGCCTCTTAAAGAAGAAGTTACAGGTCTGTGAGAGCCAGAAATCTTGCTTGTTTGTAGGTGACCAAATACTTATTTTCCACCATAATTTGCAAATAAATTCATAAAAAATCCTACAATGTGATTTTCTGGAGAAAAAAAAATATCAATTTGTCTGTCATAATTGACGTGTACCTATGATGAAAATTACAGGCCTCTCTCATCTTTTTAAGTGGGAGAACTTGCACAATTGGTGGCTGACTAAATACTTTTTTTCCCCACTGTATGTTGTTCTATTGTACTTCAAACAATGTGATTGCAGTTTGCTTAGGATTCAAACCTTCCAAACAGCCTAATTCATACTCTTAGAGGAGGTGATCCCACATTAATGTGATTTGTACCGCATACAAGTTAAAGTATTGGATTCTTTACACACCACACTAATCCCATTCCACTACCTTTTCAAGCTTTTTTGATTATATGAAAACAAGCTTTGCTTTTATACTTATAAGACTTGATTGAGCAAGCTGTTTTGTCTTGTTGTAATGTGGTGCCTAACTGTATTTCTTTCTAAACATTTATTTAGCAATACATGTAATTGAGAAAAAAATACATTAAAAAAAATATTTTTGCTCAACATAACACCAGGTGGTGTGTTGGACACAGTCACTCATATATTAAAAGGTATATTGAGCCTGTCTGCATTCCTGATTTCTGTAACCGTTAGCTTACCTGTGTAGATATTACTGCACCGTCGGAGCTAGAAGCACAAGCATTTCGCTACACCTGCTATAACATCTGCTAAACACGTGTATGTGTCAAATAAAATGTGATTTGATTTGATAGGCTCAGAAAAACTTGTTTTGCAAACATGGTGTTGTTTTATCAATTGCTGCTCTAACATTTTTTAAAGATTAATGAAAAATAAAACAATAACATACTGTATCTTGATTAGATAAGTATTCAACCCCTTGAGTCAATACATGCTAGAATCACCTTTGGCAGCCATTACAGTCTAAAAGCTTTGCACACCTGGATTGTACAATATTTGCCTTAAAAAAAAAAACATTCTTCAAGCTCTGTCTAGACAGCCTTTTTCAAGTATTTTAAGTGAAAACTGTAACTAGGCCACTCAGGAACATTCAATGTTGTCTTGGTAAGCAACAAGTTTTAGGTTATTGTCCTGCTGAAAGGTGAATGTCTCCTAGTGTCTGTTGCTTAGCTCTATTCGGTTTATTTTTATCCTAAAAACACTCCCTAGTCCTTGCCGATGACGTAAATATCCATAACATGATGCAGCCACCACCATGCTTGAAAATATGAAGTGGTACTCAGTGATGTGTTGGATTTGCTCCAAACATAATGCTTTGTATTCAGGACAAAATGTTAATTTGCCACATTTTTTGCAGTATTACTTTAGTGCCTTATTGCAAACAGGATGCATGTTTTGGAATATGTTTATTCTGTACAGACAGTTTTCTCCTATCACAGCCATTAAACTATTTTAAAAATGACCATTGGCCTCATGGTGAAATCCCTGAGCGGTTTCCTTCATCTTCGGCAATTGAGTTAGGAAGGACGCCTGTATCTTTGTAGAGACTGGGTGTGGTGTACAGAGCTGGAGTAATCATTCAAAAATCATGTTAACCACTACTATTGCACACCGAGTCCATGCAACTTATTATGTGATTAAGCAAATTTTTACTCCTTAACATATTTAGGCTTGCCATAAAGTAGTTGAATACTTATTGACTCAAGACATTTCAGCTTTTAATTTTGTATTAATTCATAAACATTTCTAAAAGCAAAATTCCACTTTGACATTGTGGGGTTTTGTGTGTAGATCAGTGGCACAAAAATGTTTCATGAGCTGAATTAAAATATCCCAGAAATATTCCATACGCACAAAAAGCTTATCGCGCTCAAATTTTGTGCACAAATTTGTTTACATCCCTGTTAGTGAGCATGTATCTTTTGCCAAGAGAATCCATCCACTTGACAGTTGTGGCATATCAAGAAGCTGATTAAACAGCATGATCATTACACAGGTGCACCTTGCGCTCGGTACAATAAAAGGCCACTCTTAAATGTGCAGTTGTCACACAACACAATGCCACAGA